CCCCTTGAATTATTGATTTCCTAACAGCACTTGGCATATGAATTATATATTCATATATGAACTACAATATATGTGTAACTTATTCAGACAGCAAATTAATACTCCTAAATTGTTCTTAATGCTTCGCTCAACCTAAGAAATGCGTAGTCACGCACTCCAATCCCAGTTTGTCGTCGTTCTGGGCCCTATGTAACGGAACGAAAAGGAATGGAAAGGAACGGAACTTGAAGCCCGCTCCAATCGGTTATCTAATCGGGCTGCGCGAATCAATTTCGCTATAAATAATGTGAAATTGATGGGATTTTCGATTGTCAGCACTTCTTATGGATTCGCCAAAGTTGACTGCTAATTAATAATAATTATCAAATTGGACAATAATATTGACACAGGCAAGTCAGGCTATATGGCCGAGTGTGCACTTGAGTTTACCATCTGATAATTATTTATATAGATGGAGCGTGTGTCCAAGCAGCTCACCTGTGCCCCACTGATATGCCCCGAACGGCACCTGTAAATGAACCAAGAACGAAAATAATATTCAATTTTTGTTTTTGTTTTGGCTTTTTAGGCCAAATTTCAGCAGAAGCTCATTAAGAGTCGGCCAAATTAACGAATTGCGTTGTAAACTATGCTGCAATATGCCATAAACTGCTGCGCATTAAGTGACGCACTGGGTAATCCAGAATGACTGCATGGGCACGACTAGGAGATATCCTGTCAGCGGTTGGGTTAGACATAGCTGGAGCATAGATATTTATATTGAGAGCTATATCTTATATTAGGTCTATTGCACCTTTTTGTACCCTGATGAGTCACAAATGCATTTTTTCTGCTATAAACGTCGTTTATGATTTAGTTGGAAGTCATCGAATATGAATGATGGCGATTTTTGAATTGTTCCACAAGCTCGACTAAATGATACTCTGTAACCATTTGTGTCACATACATTTGCTATAGCTGGTGTATAGCTAAGATATATGTGTAAATTTCTTGTACATTTGTACGCATTTAAACATAGCTCGACTTGTAGATATCCTGCAGTGACTCATATGTAGATACAATACCTGACATACGGGATATGTTTTCAAATTTTTTTGAAAACAATGCATTTAGTAGAAAACCTTAAATAAATTAATAGTTACTAAATCAAACAAAAAGGCAAACAATCACATTCAAATCAGATTTAAAAGCGTATAAATATTTATTTGATAACCAGCATATCTAGAGAAACTAAATTAAAGAAGTCTTAATTGAATTCGCTTGAATTTTAATCGAACGTGACGTGATTCTCGCGTTGTCAGTTTGTTGCCTCTTCAGATGCTAATGAAATTAAAATGAGTATAATTATTATGTTTCTCACCTACGTAAATAGGTCCATTATTTAGAATACCTGCACAGCGGGGTGGGCGTTGGCATGGAAGGTGAAGAATTCATTTCATATAAAATGAATGCGAAGAATGCGGACAAAATAGTTTTCAAAACAGATTTTTAGCACGCTCAAAGCATGAAACACGAAATTGTTTCAATTCACACGGCATTAGTCATTGAAATCATGGATAAACGCTATTCTAATGATATGCGCACTGTATTATATATTATATATATCTTTTTGGTATGCGAAGATAATATTCGTGTACATATATAGTATATAAAATAATTTTAACACGTCTACAAACAATATTTTTTAATATAATCATAGCTACTATTCATTCATATAGACATTTCTGACGTTAGTAATATTTACAGGGTATAGAGCTTCAAAGGCAGCACAAACAACATTCATAGAAACGATATAAGCTCTAGCTGACCCAAAAGCAAATGCATATTTGAGGGCGATTGAATTGCGTCTTTTATTTAAGATTTTCCATTTAAAAGAAAATTGAAATGCTATTCTGATGGAATCAAATTTCCAATTTATCGTAGTAAATTAGAAACCAAAATTCAATCGAAATCAAACTCTAAGAATAATAAAAAGAGAACCACTGAATATTAGCCATATCAATACGCATAAACTTATTTATAGAAAATTGTTATTGGCGACCTCTTTAACAAGCTATATTCGATATTGTCTAGTAAAAAGATATGGAAATGTATATGCTTATTTCGAGATGTAATACCCGGAATGAATGAAAATAGAACAGCTTATACCATAGGTAATACCCGTCAAATGGAATGGTTTGCCTGCTAACCGGCTAGGCACGTGTCGCTGTCGTTAAAGGGAATCGATCAACGATGAGACCTTGACAACCTCAATTGCTTTTGCCCGTTAATTTATGCTGTTGAGCCAGCTAACTGTAACAAGCGAAAGAAAAGCGGCTTAGGGTGTTATGCGGTTTGTAAATTTCAGCAAACACACGTGAGTTAAACAACAGTTGTAGCTATAATATAGTTATTTAAATTTTATTTGCATTTAAAACAATTCTATGCTTTACTTTTTTTTTTTTTTTTTTGCTTTGTTTTTAGTAATAATCAATGCCCAACAATGAAAACCAAGCCGAAAAATTTAGTCTAAATAAAATCCAGTCTGAAAATCAAATCTGGTTACATCTATAGCCGCAATGAACAGCTTCGGATGCACGCAATATTCTTTAGCCATACAGAATATATATTTTAATATATATAATTTTGAATACATTGCGGCTGTTTTTTTTTTTTTTTTTTTTTTTTTTTGGCTAAAACCTAGAAACTTATGCCTAAGAACGGCTTTTCTATGAATTAATATTTTACAGTTTGAATGCCGTATCAAAAATTCGAGTACTACGAACGATCTACATTGACAGACAACTAGGATTGCAAGGTGTTTGTGTGGGTGTGGATGTGAGAGTGTGTATGTATGTGTACAAACTATCTTTAGGTATACATAGCCTATGGGGGTAGTATAAAAATATATATATTTATGTCTGTATATATGTCTATATATATGCATGTGTATTTAGTTATTCTCTCTTTACATCTAGATGCCTGTTTAGGATTTACATGCCGAGCAGGCACTCGGAGTTGCCGGCAATGTCGGCGAATTGCGTTGGCTACGCCTGCGTCACGAAGTACATCTCCCCGGATGAGCCGACGACAACGGCATGCGTATCACCTGTGGCCGTTGTGCCACTGAGGGCGTTTGGTGCGGCGGCTATCATGCTGGACATGTCGGTGCCATTGCTAACAATGCTAACGGCGCCGCTGAATGCCGCATTGGAGCTGGTGGTGATAATTGTTTGTGCTTCGCTGGCATTGCTGCCATGATCTGTATTCTCCACATGATGCTGCAGGCTGTCGATGTGGTCGTACAGGGTGGAGCATTCGCCGCACTTATAGAGCGGCTCAACGCATTCCGGATGCTTGCGCTCCACGTGCCATCGCAGATTGGCCGCATTGGAGAAATTCTTACGGCAATTGGCCACGCCGCAGCAATAGGCACGCTGCTGATGCGTCTGCCGGTGCCTGTAGAGGATCGCCTTCGATTTGAATGTACGATTGCAGATGTTGCACAGCGGCGTATTCGTCTCCGCGTCGTGCGTCTTCATGTGCATGCGCAGCATGCCCGGCCCCTTGAAACTCTTCAAGCAGATCTCGCACTGGGGCTGCTTCTTGCAATTGGCCCGTATCCAATTGGTGTGCGAGTGCATGTGACTCTGCAGGCCCTTGAATTGCCGGAACTCCGTGCTGCACAGGTGACAGATGTAACGACCTGAGCCCAAAGGTGATGTATGCTGCCTGATGAATTCCGTCACCAGATTCGCATCGATCTCGTAATTGTCATCAGCCCCGGCTGCTGCTATCACTGACGCTGTCTGCACCAGCTGTCGCGAATTGGCCGCCGCCAGCTTGCTGCTTATGGTGGGTGGACTATGCTGGTGGTTACACGGCGTCTCCACCAGTTGCGTTTGCGATTGCGCTTGCGTGTTGCCACGACGCGCACGTTTTGCTGAACTGGGTGTTGGACTGGGCGTGCTGTTGACATGTAACGTGGGTGCGACCAGTGCATCCTGTCCAAACTCTACGACAGCATTCTCCAACGATATGCTCTGCAGGTCCACAGACTGCTGCTGCTGTTGCTGGTGCTGCTGCTGCTGTTGTTGCTGCTCCTGCAACTGTTGTTGTTGTTGTTGTTGTTGTTGCTGCTGCTGCTGCTGCTGCTCGACATCTATGAAAGCCTGATCCATGTCGCTGGCGCTGACATCGCCATCGGGCGGCTCCATTATGGCATAGTGCAGCTCATCATCGACATCGCCGCCGAGGCCGTGCTCCTGGTCATCGGTTATATACTCGCATTCGTCCACATTCGTCATGCCATCGCCATCGACTTCTCCTTCCGCATCCTCAAGCATATCGTCCTCATCTAATTGAATCTCCTCTATGATGAAATTATCATCATCGTCATCCTCGTGCTTGACCCCATCCTCGTGATCCAGCAGCTGCTCGTCAAAGTATTCGTCTGTCTCCTGCTCCTGTGTGTCGCTTTGCGTGTATTCCTCGTCGATGAGCACTTGACGATTCTGATCCTTTAGAAAGTCTTGCTGCTGATCATCGTCCAGGACTATTGTCTCAAAGGTGTGGCCCTTGCCGTCCAAGTGATCGTAGACCTCGTCCAGATCCTCATCATCCATTTCGCCATCGTGCAGCAGCTGGACATCCGCATCGGCTAACGAAGCTCCATTGCTCGTCGTGCACATGTCCGTTGTCGTGGTCGTCGTTATCGCCGGCGCCATGCTTCGCTGCGGCACCAACTGCACCAGCTGTAGCGTCTGTGTGCCGTTCGGCTGCTGAACAATTTGTAACGTTTGGCCATTGGGCGCCTGCAGCAACTGGGGCAGAAATTGAGCCTGTGCCGACGCAGCGGCATTCGATGCCGTCGTCTGGGGGCTGATAATCTGCGCCAGCTGCGGCGTCACTATTTGGGTCGTTATTAACTGTCCATTCGGCAAGAGGATTTGCTGTGCCGTCGTTGTTGGCATCAGTTGCGCAGGCGCCGGCTGCAGCGTTGGCAGCTGAATTTGTTGTATCTGCTGTTGTGGCTGTTGCTGTTGTTGGAGTAGTGGTGGTGGCGGCGGTGGCGCTGGCTCCGGTAGAAGGTGAACCATTTCCTGGTGTTTCTTTGACTGCCGCGAGCTGCCTTTTCGCTGCAGTGGTTTCAGTTTGTTCTTGGGCTGTGCGAGAGTGGAAACAAGAGAATTGATCAAGTAAATCTGGTGCACGATTTCTTTTAATTTTATACCTTCGGCTGATGTTGCTGCTGCTGCTGCTGCTGTTGTAATTGATGTGGCTGTTGTAGAAGATATATAGGTGACTGTTGCTGCTGTTGTTGCTGCTGCTGTTGTTGTTGTTGTTGTTGCTCCTGCTGCTGTTGCTGATGCAATTGCTGCTGTTGCTGCAGTATTTGCTGCTCCAGTTTTTGGTGCTGCTCCTCTAACTGCTGCTGATGCTTGAACTGTTTTTGCAGCAGCTTCTGCTGCTTGCGCTCTTGTGGGGTAAGCGACTCATCCATTCCAAGGCGTACCGTCAAGCTTTTTATATATTCACGGAGCTCTTTGTCGCTACGCTCGACAAGCGACTTAAATGCATGATTCCGACTAACTGCATGGACGCATTGCACACAGATTTTGTCGGGCCAGCCCTCGGTGGGCTCGACACGCACACTGGTGCAATCCATCAGCATTTCCGGTACTTTTTCACTGAAGAGCGGACGCATTTCCTTGCGCTCCGAAATGCATAAGCGGCAGATTTTGTCCAATTCCAGTACCTTTTTACGGTCCATCATGGCGACGGCTTCGACAAATCCTTCAATTGAAGTTTCTTTCTATAAGCATTACGGAATTTAACACTTGTTGCCTCATTTTACTGTAAACCTTTTCCACAGGCGAAATATATGAGAATTTTTGTTGATAAGCGCAATTTCAAATTTTAGCGCTTAAGATACTCTGGCAGCGCCGACGTTTGGTCAACGCTCTGGCAACTCGCGGCCAGCGGTGCAAGCGAGACAACTRTATTGCTGACACGACACGACGACGACGACAACTAGTTATACACAATTTACCATCCTGGTATTGGTGCGAGCGAAAAATCATATTTTTACTACTTTCGCAGCAAATGAAACAAATATGTTTTGCATGTATTAGCATTACATTTTTAACAATTATCCGATTAAATTCTCATACTTTTCGCACTTTTGGTCAAGGTTTTTAGCAGCATAAGCCAAAAACTGACTTACCCAAGCACTATTTATATAATTTATGTAGCCTCGCTTCGACTTTGCACTGCATTCGACATTAAATTATTTTTTAAATATGGCCGCGTCACGCGATTTCAATGCGAAAAACTCATTTTATTTCACATTTTAAGCACTAAAGCACGAGTTTGTTTTGAAATGATGCGAAACAAAAACAAATGGTGCACCAGTTGGTTATTCTGGCAAGGAAATGAAATAACTAGACTTCGACCAGTACCAAATTAATAAAAATTCGATGAATGAAATTTCTGTGCAACCGCAGTGGTGCTGTTCCTGCTTTTGTCTTCTTCTGTCGACTGCAGAATCCGCGAGTTAGCTGAAACGACGTGAAACGACGATTACCCACACACTCGCGCTACACATATATAGAGCTCTCTTTTTTGCTTCGCCCCGTCCTCTGATTGTGTGAGTGAGATATGCGTATGTGGCGTGGCTATAGTTCATGGGGCTGCCAACTCACCCAAAACAAAAACACACCAAATGTTGAGTAGAAAACAAACAACAAACACGTACACACATGTGCATTCTTTGTGTAGATTGAACAATTAACAATTAAGCTTACTAACTAAATTGATTAATATTAAGATTTGGTTGGTAGGTGTCTATAAACAAGATACATACCTTTTGCGAATTAACAGGACGCCAGATTGCGGATTTTACATTTCACAGAACATACATCACACACTTTTTCACAATTTCACTGTGCCTTGCTTGATTGCACTTTTTGCGACTTTCTGTCGTCCGCCAATGCACTTTTTAATAGATAGGCACATTTATTAATTAGCAACTGCCCCACAAAACACTCACTCGCATCACACACGCCCACGTAACAGCTGCGCCGGGTACGAATACTTTAAGGACTGTCATGTCATGACGAAAGCTCTTATAAGGTGCCGTCGAAACTGGCACAAATTAAGCTGCCATAGCAAATGTGACGTCACATACACAGGGATTTAACATCGTTGTTTAACAGAGATATCGATTTCAATCAATCAGCTGCTTGACAAATAAACAACAACTTGCGTTTGAATTCATAAAAAACTTTAATTAAATTCTGAACAAAATTTTTAGAATTTCCTGTATGGAACGTATAAAAATGTTGCTTAACTTCTAAGCGGCATTGGCCTGTGTGCTACTGGTGTTGGCCAGCTCGTACTTTTGCCTCTCCTTAGTCTTTTTATTGTAGACGCGAACAATTCCGTAAACCAGGATAAGCACAATTATGCCAAAGAGCAGGCAGCTGATCACAAACCAGGGATAGAAGGAATCATCAGCCTGCTGATGTTCCGCCTCCCACTCCGTAAATACTGCTGAACCATTTACGCTCATCCTGGCTGGCGCTGAATCCATGTCCCGGAACAACGACGCTTTGACCAGATTATTGGATTCCGGTGATTCGAATGCCGGCTCAGTGTCGTCGATGCGTACGAACGTCAGTTGGACACCAGATATGTGCTGCCTGTAATGTTGCAGGCCGAAGCCATAATAATTGTACAGGTCGGCACTAATCTCTCTATGCAGATCCATCCACTGGCCAATCACTTGAACCTTCACCTCGCTGCGGGCATCCATGGTTCGTCCGAAAAACGCCTGCTCCTGAACATCTATGCCGCCTACACCGTCTATATCTAGCTCCACCATAGCGCCGCGATGCTCGAGCAGCAGCGGCAATTTCTCCAGCTGATCGTCGTTGTAGAAGCTGCTCGTGTTCAAGCGAATCTTCTCGACATATGCATAGCTAAGGCTGCCATAGATGGGCTTACGCTGGGCGCTGGGATTCTTGAGCACGCCGTCGCCGAGGCGCATTTTGTAGCTATTGGTGATGTTGCGCCACGGCTGGTAGGTGATGTTGCGTAGCTGGTACATCACCGGCTGCAGCTCCACTAAAACATTGATGCTGTCATCTATGCCATACTATAAAGAGAGCCCTGGCTATTAGAGATCATACAATAATATATGCTCAATGTACTCACAAAGTTATCCTCGAAGATCATGACCACACAGGTGAACAGACTGTCCATCACGTTGTTGACCAGATCGGTGTGCCGGAAGTGGCAGAGCTCCGTCTTCTCGCGCTCCACACTGGTCGCCTTTGCTATGTAGCTGAGTCGCTCGCTGGGATTAAGTTCAGTCGCATAGTTTTGCATCATGATCTTGTACGGCACCCAGGCCAGCACTGAGTCCACTCCTCCCTTGCATATGTCGTTCTGTTCTCCACGCCCATAGAGCTCGCCGTTGAGCAGCTTGAAGAAGTGATGATTGCTCCGTTTGATAGTCAAGGAGCCGTGGTCCGCGCATATGGTATCATACAGTCTTTCCTGTGGATTAGTCAATCACAGAAAACTTAATTTAGCACACGCATAAATAATGCCGTTATCTAAGCTGTTCGCATTATCTATTCACATACACTATTCCCGTTTGCCCGCTTTCTTTATCGCCCAGTTGATTGAATTGGGAATATCTCCTCTACACAGTTTATAGAGTGCCAGTGCTTATTGAGTTAAGCTGATTTATTTGCTATATAATATATTCTATATATACGTATATATATGGACATGGACATATACCATGATTCAAGTGACTTGAAATTGTCATTTAAGGACCTATCTCTGCTCAACTTGTCACATTGACTGCCCGAACCGAACTCTCAACCTTCACCTCGGCTGATTGATCGAATGCTATATAAGGTGGCGGATTTGAGCGACTATTTTGATCACTCAATTAGAGTTTTTATGAGTGAGAAATTATTCATATATATGTATACCTATGCTTAATTGCTTTATAATGAGCCCGTATCGGCAATCCATTAAAAAATTCGCACTTCATTAAATTTGAATTTCCCATTTGCATTATTGGAACTCACCTTTTCATTTGGCGTCAATAATGTTGCGGTTATATTGCATTTCGATTGATTTTGTAGAGGAGCAACCATTTGCCGTTTGATATCCGCCAAGAGCATCGGCTCCGTTTCTATGCAGAAATCTGGACGCTCCTCGTACGCCCTGCAGCACGTGGATAGAAGCACCAGCAGCAGCGCAACACCCAAGACATAGCTAGATTTGTACATGGCTCGGCTACGAGTGGCGATCTTAAGTATTCCGCTATCGAGGTGCGCGCGCTATCGTTGGCAAATTGAAACTAAAGCTCGCAATTCCAAGTAGTCAGCTATTTCGACTCAATTCAAAGCATTCAACTTGACCGCAAATTGTCGATAAATACCGAATGTAGCCATATAACCATATTTATCTATGCGCTGAAGGATAAACTGGCAGATTCAGAGACGAACGCGTTCGCACAGCCAAACAACTGATTTGATTAATCATTGAACGAACATTTTTGGCCTGCGCGTCATTTCACAATACGAGTCCAAGATAAGATAATAAAAACCAAGCACACAACACTGCGCAAACACCGCGACCCCACTTACCTATTACCTGCTGCCCAATATCATAATGGGTTCAAACATTTTGTCCATACCCAACGATTGCCTATGCAATGTCATGTACTCTAAAATATTACAAATCAAAATACAAAAGCATTATTYGGTACTTAAATTTATGTTAATAAGTAAATATTATATTATAATCACACTTAATATTAATATAAATCTTTTTAATATCAAATATTTTCTTGAGTTTATTTTGTATGCTTTTTCTTTTATTCATAGAAAAGTATATAATTTTTAAAAAACTCTGAAATTGTTAAACAATTCTTATTTTTAATAGTATTTTTTTTTCTTTTCTTCTTGTATACAGTTGCTTTTCAACAAGTTCTTTTTGTTGTATTGTATAACTTTTTTCTTCCTCGAGACTTTACACCTTAATTTGTACAAACAATATATAATATAACAGCTAACAAAACTTAGCGATGATATAGCTTCTTTTCTATAGAGGGGGAAAATAGCGAGCCCGACGTACACGAAAAACATAAACCTCTGGGCCAAGGCAGCGATATATCGTTGATTTCCTACATCTGGACTGGGCGACTTATTCTGCGGGTAGAGAGATGATCATTATTTATATGCGTGTGGTTGTAGGGAAATTTGAATAGAATTTACCTCCCATTTCGAATTCAATCATTTCAAGATCGTCGTCATCGTCATCTTCCCCATCCTCTAGATCAGTATCGTTGTCATCATCATCGCTGGAGGAATCAATATCAATAAAATTGCGATTGCGATGGCTGCGTAACGGGAAACCGAGGAAAGTTGGACCTAATGGAAAAGCTGATGTGAGTAGAGCATAAACTCGATAATGGAAATTCTGATTGATCAGATCACTCACCATTTTCAGAGCCCGTATCGGAGCCCGTGTCGGAGCCCTCCTCATTAGATTCGGGCACCTCCTCATCATCTTCCTGCAAGCATAGACAGAATATTAAATTCAATATCATCCATCTGCATCTGCATCCGCATGAGCGTTCTGAGCTCGATGGCCGCACCGGCACCGGCAACGGCACCGGCACCACCCAGTGTACGTGCTCGCCGTCGCACACCAACAATTGAGCTGTTGGGTGCATGCTGGCGAGCCAGATTTGAATTGCCATGTGACGATTGCCTAAGCCGGCTTGGACGACGGGCGCGTGCCTCGTCGTCAGCCCCGCCAGCACCAATGCCGCCATTCGCATTCGCATTTGCATTTGCATCTGCGCCTGCGTCTGCAAGTGCATCAGCATTGAGCAACGCCATGTTTGGCTCTGGCGTATGTGGGCGTGCCGCTTCTTCGACGATGCGAATTAGCGCAGATTCACCGCCTGGCGCATTGGCGGGCGGTGACGGCTCCTCTAATGCGGACGTGCCGCCGCCGCCTCTGACGACGCCCTCATCGACGGCCAGATCCTTAACCGCACGCACCTCTTCCGAACGTTCGCTCTTTTTAACACCAACGGCATAGATCTTCACGTAGGTCTCCTGCTTCGAATCATAGCCGCTGTGATCCTCCACAACAGCAATAAGGCTGCCGTTCGCACTGACGCTCAAATCGTTGATATTACGCTTCACATCGATGGTTGCAATGCTCGAATAGTCGTAAGCATCCAAAACATTAAAGCTCGTATCGTAGGTAGTTGTCTCCATGTCATGATCCCGATCGGCACCCAAGCTGGCGCCATAAATCACATGCATGGGCGAAAAAGTGCAGTTACGCTGATCCAGCACCGGCACCGTCTGCAGCAGATGAAACGTTCGCAGATCCCATACCTCCGTATTTGCAATAATCTATAAGCGTAACGAGGACATTCAATCTGGATCGTTACATGGTAATATGCTACAGAAGCTTACCTCCAGGCAATTGGGATGAAATACGCCCGAGATACATTGATTGAACTTATCGAATTTATGAATCTCCTTGCCGGAACGAACATCCCAGAGAACGCCATCTGCAAGAGTAAGGCTAGAAAATGCTTTCTTAGACTCTTACATGATATTGTGGAACTCACCTGAGAGCAGCAGCTCGTCAGTGCGGCACAGCGTCGCTCTATTTTTGGTGTATTGATTGGGTATGGTGGGTGTAAATGTGGACACCTTGGAGCCCGTGTTGATGTCATACAAAACGGCGCACTGCGAATAACAAATATATTATTATTGATATTCCACTAATTTGAGGCAATTCTGTCGTACATCCGTGTGGGTTCCCAGTAAGCGATCCTGTGTGGTCTGACTGAACTCACAGTATCCGACCTCGGGCAGACGCAGCTTGGAGCGGAACTCGTTGTCCGTGATGGACCACAAAATGGTGGTGCGCAAACGCCATAGGCTGGTGGTTAGAACGAGATCTCCGGCACGATTCGCCTGTATGGCATCCACGCCGTATGTGTGGCATATGGAGGAGAACTGTTCGACGCCATCGTTCATATTGAACACCTTGCTCTCGCCCTGGTGTGTGCCAACGATTAGGTAATTGCCCACCACATCACAGCACGTGAACTCCAGGTCATCATAGTCCGCAGATCGCATTGTACGCCAGGGCGCGAAATGTGTGTGGACATGCCGGCGATCGTAGCGTGCCGTATTGAAGCCTGCCTGGGTGCGGAAATGCCGGGAGGTCAAATTATAGTTGGAGCTGACCTGACGGCTGGGCCGTGGATCTGGGCACTTGTGCGGCTCATATAGATCGAACTGTGGACAGGTGGTGACCGGATTGTTGCACAGCGAGTGCTGATTCGTCAGATACTCTGTCACAATGCTATTGAGGGTCACCCGTTTCGGATGTAGAGCCGGAGAGACAGTCAACTCATCCGGCAGTCCCACAGCGCTTGACTCCGGATTGACCAAGCTGATTTGTTTCTGCAACGAACGTGTTACCGAGGATGTGGCACGCTCTGTCTTGCGCAGTTTAATGGGTGTTTGGGCGCTGAGGTAGCTGAAACCAGGCACGCCCACTGCAGAAGATCCATTGGCCGTACCCGAGGTGCAGGCGCTAGTGCTGCAATGCGGCGACGCGTCCTCTGACAGACTGCGACTCTGATCGCCATTGGACATGATGGCCGCAGAGACATCGGCCATGCGGCTTCTCAGGCGACTGCGCGACATTGAGCTGATGCCAGATAAGCCCTTGAAGTCGAAGGGCGACTGATGAAAGCTGCGCGTCGTCGTTGTCTGCAAGGGCAGACCCACCTCGCGCTGCAGCATCTGAGCGGTTTGTGTGAGGCCCTTACTCTCCAGGTGCTCGAAAATGAGCTGGTAGAGCTGCTGTTCGTTGTATTGAATGCGCGTCTGGGCGATCACGTTCGCCTTGTGCATGTTGGTGAGCGACGGATCCAGCGGTGTGAGTGCCTTCGTTTTTGTCTTGCCGGAGATGCGTTCGAGCAGCTCCAATGCGTACTTCTGGAAGATGACATGTTCAGCACGCTTCTCCTGCAGTATGGGATCCCGCATGAGCGCCTGCAGTTGGCCGCTGGCAAACAGGGGCAGCTTGCTAATGATTTGCCGTACACGATCAGAACGGGCCAGCCCGGCCAGAGCGCGACAGGCCATGCCGCGTATGCAGTCGGCATCGGTGATGGGTCCCTTGGTTTGCATCAGTGAGAGGAGCACCACAATGCCATTGTTTGAGCACACCGACTCCCACACCTTCTCGATCAGCTCTTCGGCATATTTCTGGTTGGCTTTGTTCTTACGCGACGAGTTTCCAAACTTCAGGAGGCTGCTGCTGCTGCTGTCCTTTCGTATGATTGGCGAGCATACGCAATGGCAGAGCACGGCCAGAGCTGATTTCAGTACCTCAGCGTCGGCTGTGATCTCGCCGGCCGCTGCGCCCAGCACTGAACAGAAACCAGACGTTGTCGTCTTATCCGGCATCTGCAGTCGTTCACAGAGCACCAGATAGACTCGCGGTATCACGCAGCACACACTGAGCACATCCAGGGCCGAGCGCACCGTCTCCGAGCGTCCATTGTTCACCCAATCGTAGCTGAAGGCAATGATGCGCAAGAGCATCGTAATGCCGCCCAGCTTCATTAGCTGATCCACGGGCTCCCAATGAGCGCGCACAGAGGTGTGCTCCTGCAGCGTACGTATCTGCTCGTGCAACTGGTCGAATGTCAGCTTGGCGGCCACAGTAGGCTGTTGGCTAAAGTAGTGCGACGATGAGGCCGATGAGCTCGCATAGTGCTGACACAGAAAGTTGTTGTACTTGTAGAAGAAATGCGCTTCCATGTAGCGCTTCAATGCGATGCACACGTGTCGCACCATCTGACGCGACGCGCACTCGACATCCTCATTGATTTCCGAGCCATTGTCGTTGTCGTTATGACTGGGATCGAGAATTTTAAGTACCGATATCTGCAGCAAAAGCAATGGAAAATTTGTGAAATAAACAATATTGTTTATTTATTTTTAGCGTCTACTTACAACATTATACAGCTTGCGTAGGCCATCTTGTGCGTCGAACTCATCGAGTATTGCCTTAAATTGGAAACTCAAGCTGAAGAACATGGTGGCATGACACTTGGAGGAGTCATGACAGCGGCCCAGTATCCATAGCGCGTACCGCACTAGATTCGATATCAATGGACGCGGCATGCTGCAAATCCGTTCCATAGCATCCTCACAGTATGCCAAATAGTAAATGGCAATGGAGACGCCCGTGGTGGCCAAACTGGGTCGTGGCACATTCAATAGCAGCTGGAAATATCGAAATGATACATTAAATATCTGTAACTCTAATCCTACACATGATGAGGCTTACCTCTAGACCGCCACGCGATATGAACTCCAGTGCAAACTTTTTGTGGCAGAGCAACGAGGCCAGATATTTGAGCACTTCGTAGGCGAGGCAAGTGTCGCGTCTGTCGAGCTCCTCTAGATGTCCAAAGATCAGCGACATTACATTGTTGCCGAAGGCCATGGCCAAGAACTCTTGGTATTCGCCCAGGCTGGTCAGGAAGCGCATGATGAGCATTTGGCTGGTGTCCGCTGTGGGCGGATGCAGTGGTATATACATGCGCTTGTAATAGCGCGACATGGAGAACGCATCGCGACTGTTCTCAAACAAAATAGACATGTTGGAAGCACTGCCGCTGGTGCCGTTATGCTGCGGCGACTGAGGGGCCGACGCAGCGCCACCGCACGCCATCCAGCTGAGCATGCCCGGCGAAATATTGCTGTCCGTGGAGTTGTTGAGCGATGAGCTCGGCTCTGTTGTGGTGTTCTTGCTCATTCGACTGCATGCCAGTAACAAATGCAGCCGGTTAATCATTTTGGGCACCAGACGCATGTTCTGCTCCCGACAGGTAATCGCTATATCGCTTACTTCCATGGCAGCGGCCAGCAGGCCTGTGGCATAGCTCTGCAGCGGCTCAATGCTGTCCTCTGCCCAATTGTAGAGCCGATTAATTATGCCATCTTCCTCGGCCGTCTGGAATACGGCCGTCGTCTCAAGACCCGGCATCACGACCAATATGAGCCGACAGGCAATAATATTCAGCTCCAGGGAGCTGCGACTTATGCTCTGGCGACTGAAGTAGTTGTCTCGCAGATAATCGTTGAGAAGCTGAAAGTGTTTTTAAGCATTAGATTCCTAGATTAGATTCTTAAATTTGCATTTCCAGAGTTTTCATACTTTGCCCATAAACAGATCTTTACGAAAGAGCAGCTTCAGCAACAGTCCATATTGGCAGCTGGGATCGGTGCGATAGGGGTGCCTTAAGTCCAGTGGATCCGGATCCTTACGCATGTATGAGTCCTTTTCACGCTCAAATATCTCGGCCAGACTGAAAGTAAATTTATATAAATAAATATGTTTTATTATTATTCGAATTGGGTTACCTTCTTAGCGTCGGCACGGGATCGTAGCCGGCTTGTGTTTGTTCTTGCTCCCATTTGTCAATGATTTGTGTGAGCTCCTTTTTCGTAGCCGAGCGCCTGTCCGCTGCTGGATCATCCCCAGCATTACCGTTGTCCGCTTCTTGGCCATCTTCAGAAGCTTCTTCTTCTCCGTCGCCGTCCCCCTCGCCATCACCATCTCCATCACCATCTCCATCACCATCACCATCACCATCACCCTCAACATCACCTTCAGCATCCGTTTCAGCATCAATCTCTGCGGCCTCTTCAGGTGAATTTTCCATGCTGTTTGCATCAGCCTCGGCTTCCTCTTGGCCAGCTTGGTCTAATGTATCATTCAAGCTGTCGTCGCTTTGATAAGCAGCTGCAAACACAATATTGTCGAGTGATGCATCATTTCGAATTGGTGCATTGGGCATTTCAGCATCGTCTTCCTCCTGCACTCCGGCGCTTCCATTCTCATTCGCATTCGACATGTTTCGAGAGCTCCACGCGGCAAGCGTTGGACACTAGCTCGTTCTGCTGCACTTGCCAATTTACCGATTGGATTTGATTACGCACTTTCAACTATAAACCAAATATTTAATTTTGTATATATTTATAATTGGTTCAACTGCGTTATTAATATGCAAATTCTGTGCGGCTAAACCACGCGCTTCTCTTTTTGGCAATGAAGGAGTGTGACCGCGCACCATAGAGAGGAGCGATAAACGAGTCGGTTGTACATGGTCAGCGAAAAGAATTTCATCTTGAAAAGGTTGACGCCATGTCAAAGGTAAGCGACAGTGTTACCCGGGCATGTAGAATGTAGTTTTTTTTTAAATATTTATTTAATTTAATGAATTATAAAACCCATTACAATTTGTATGGATGTGAAATAAACATTTGGAAAAAAATATGACTGTGCAGATATTTCTGCAGATTATATGACATCTAATTTCACACAGTGCATCAACAAGGTGGCAGCACTGCCTAAAATTAATCGCCGGCTATCAATGTTATCGATGTGTCGAGTCATTGTTTTGTTTTGGTTCCTGATAAACTCCTAAAATTTGAGCAACATGAGTTTTCTGTTTATACTTAGTTGGATTTCATTAGCTATACAAATCACCTTCATAACACTGTGTATAGGTACATAGGTTAACAGCAAACTATGAAATATATCTTTAATTTATACACTTTTACAGTGGCTGGCCTCTACTATCTGGCCGAGCTGGCAGAGGAGTATACAACGCCAGCTCGACGTTGTATACTATTTATGATTAGTTTCACAATATTTGTATACCTTCTCCTGATATGCTTTGAGGACTTTTCATGGACCATGATGCTGTGTGGATTAGTAGCGCAAGGCTTCCATTTCAGTATAATGAATAATTTTCCCTTCATACAATTGCTTTCGGTGCCCTTGATTGGATCCGTGGCAATGCTGGTGATAAATCATGTGCTCGCATTTCAATATTTCACTAGCGTCTATGTACCGTTCACACAGGTGAGCCATGGAGAGATCCAGCAAGACATATCTTATGTCATTGAATTTGTGTATTCCCGTTTTAGGTACTTGCCTACTTTACCATCTGCCTGTGGATGGTTCCCTTCGCTCTGTTCGTCTCGCTCAGCGCCAACGATAATGTACTGCCCACCACGGTCAGCGGCAACGACCGGCTCATGGGCAGCAGCAATCCGGATGTGGTCAGCAATTACTTTTCGCGTAATAAGAAGGTCGGACTGCTGTCGCTCTTCAACTATATTAAGGAGACGTTGCTGCCGGGTCGCAGCAAGAAATCGTTTTAGCTAGGAAAACTAAAGACTTGATAATCAATTGTGTAAAGGATATCGGGCGTAATCCCTAGTTATTTATTTAGTGTACATGCGCTGTAACAGTTCAGTAGTATTAATATGAATATTTTGAATGGATCGGATCAGAGAACTATTTGCTCTGGACCTTAAGGGTGCCATTGGCCATTCCAAAGTAGCATTTGTGTGCCATGTTGACGAATAGACCTGTCTCCAGGACACCCGGTATCAAAGATATTGCCTTATTCACCTCGTTCCAGTCGTATTCACGTTTCGCAACAAATCTCCAGTCTAACAGAAAATTCCCGTTGTCGGTGACAATGGGCCCAGCCTTCTTTAGGGCAATACGTAGCTGTGCTTCGCCCCCAAAGAGCTCCTCGATCTTATGCTTGACTGGCACATGGGCTAACGGCGCAACCTCAATGGGTATGCCCTTGCACCATTGCTCACCCAGGCGGAGCGAGCGCTTTGTATAGTCTGCCACGATGACCACTGTCTTGGCGCACGAGGCAACTATCTTCTCCTGCATCAGGCAGCCGCCGCCGCCTTTGATTAGCACCARGCTGCTGTCCACTTCGTCGGCGCCGTCAATATAAACATCGATTTTATAATTACGATCCAGATCGCCCAATGTGAGATTGTGATCGAGTATCAGTTGGCGTGCTTGGAACGATGACGGCACGCAGATCAATTCTGACAGTGTGCCCTCCTTCCAGACGCGCTCCGCAAGCCGCTGGACGACAAACACGATGGTTGAGCCGCTACCAATGCCCAAAACTTTCGTATCTTCGGTCACATATTGATCCACGGCTGTTTCGGCTGCTAGCTTCTTTGCTGCGTCCAGTTCAATGTTGTCGTTCATTTTGCTGCAGAATGTGCGTCTTGAGATTGTACTTTTCAAGTGGATGGGAGATCGAGTACAAAGTCCAATTAATTGTGGCAAATGCGGTTGCAACAAGTCTCGGCGCAGCAACAACGACTTCAACATGTGCTTCAACTTTTAGGTGCCTTGGCTTCAAATTCACGAATCTAGTTTCAACTCGAATGACACGAGCTGAAATTGGGTTCCATTTGTTAGTATCTTGTGTTGTGCTTAGCTCTCTGTTTAGCTTTAATAGCTCAACCCAATTGATATATGAAATTTATTTCCCGGCGCATATGATATCAACTTAATAGCTAGCAAAATGTTCATATGAAGATATATTACATATATTATCACTTATTGTTTACACTTTATTGTGTTATCCACTTTCAGCCAATGTTATGTGGCCATAGTCGGAGTGCTGTAAAGCTTTATTCGATAGTATCGATAAATGTTAAAATAAATCAGCCCTGTATTCACGAAGGGCGTTTTAAAGGTCGAAAGCTTATATGCAATTGGCGGCAAGAATTCAAATATATAAAGTTGAATTGGGAAAGATGAAAAGGGAAAAAATTGTTATTGCAGATTACAGATGACATAAATAATATCTAAAATAATAATTGATGTAAATTTCTTTTAGTAAAGCTAAAACTGAGGCTGATAAATGTTATTAAGGTGTTAAAGGTTTTTTTAAATAAAAAAAACCTAAAGCTACTCTATTTATAAACACTATATCTATTACAATACATATATTCATTAGGGAAAAAGTGAAACGCAACATGGTTAGCTGACGGAAATGCGCCAAAAGTAGGGAGCCCAGTTCCACAATTATAGTTCTGGATGCAATCGAGACAATGCAGCGAAAACAATTTGGACAGCAACAGCAGCAGTAGCAACAACAGCAACAGCAACAACGGCGAGAAGGAAAACAAACAGAACGAAAATGCAGGAGGAACCACAATACAAAAGTCGTTTAAAGTTAAACGCTATCCTTGATAATGATAAGAAATGGTTGCAAAACCATTAAAAGCATTCCCTCTTGGCTTAGATGAGTGCGAGAAGAGGACGTGCCAGTGCTGACCAAAGAAATAAAATGAGGGGAATTCCCCTTGAAAGGCCGACCACAGCCGGCTGCAGCTGTTGGAATATTACGTCTTAGACGTAACTGCTTGGATTATTTCAGGGCAGAGTATTTGAGGAAATTTAATACTTTTAGTGCACAAAGCGAAAACTGTTGAATGGAATTGCGATAAAGCTGAAAAGCAAACTACAATCACAAAGGTGATTGCAGATTTTCCCTTGCAAAATGGAACACAAACTGAATGCCAAGCCAACAGCAACGAGACTACCAAACCCAAATACAAATACACGAAATAAAGAAGCACAATTCGTTAGAGGTAAGGAAATGCCAAAAAGATTTGTGTTAATGGATTTCACTATTAAAGAAATGAATTTCGAATGCAACGCAGTATGAAAAGGAAACATCCTTCGTTTTGCATGATTGCACATCGAATATGAATCTACGATGTGGCCAAGCTGAGGTTTGTTAGTACAAATTAATGTGTCAACTATTGAATTGAATTTCAATCATGTGCTTGTTGGTAAAGTTTGGATAAAGAACGTCTAATTTAGTTAGGATTTAGCTAAATCTGTGTAGTTTTGCAGGGGGCTTAGCTTAAATATTAAGACAGTTATGCATAGACGGCGTGGTTAGTAGATAGAATAAGTACCTTAAGTATCTTATAGATAAAATTTCATCTTGACTTTATGTGATATATAATAATTTTACCATAGAATATCATCAAATGGCATACATACCATATATAAATCACCACATGTTCCTTATGATAGAAATTAGATAAGGACGTTTTATAAGATCAATAGATGTATATGCTGGCATATGAATTTAGTAAAATTAGTTTCTGAAAATCGAAAATATACAGATTGTGTAAAATAATCGAAATTTGAATTCTAAAAATTTTAATTTTTAATTTTAATTAAAAGAATGGAGATTTGTTTAATTATATAGATTTTATTTATAGAATTGTATATTTAACTTATGATTACGAGACAATAGAAAAATTTAAATTAACTAGATAGGCGTCCAATAAAATCGAGCATGGATCAAACAATCAACTATGTTTTCATTAATTAAATTTGTATTTATTAAGTTAATTAATAGCATGATTTGCGATTCATAAAACAGCGATTACTATTCACGTCGACGTTTGCATTAATGTTGCAAATCAACTGTAATGTCTAGCTAACGTTAATGCTAACAGGTAACGGTAAATTGGATTGCATCTCAATTATATGCACTTACGGCCTGTCCCATTTGACAGCTCTGGCAAATCGAGTGCTAACAACTATGCTACCTTTTTGGCTAGGGTATTACGAATGTCAATACAAACATCAATTACGTGAAACAAAAGTCCTGCACACACACATATGCACACAGACAGACACACACACACCAGATGTGGGCAGCATAAAAATTGTTAATTAAAGGAATGCATTGTTTAATGTGCCCCTCGTGGGCCACAGTCGAACACCTGGCTGCATCCCCGCGAGGGCCCATCGCCTGATGCTCGACGCCCGCTCAATTACACGCACAAACTTTGCACAAAAAAAATGAAAAAAGAACTTGAAAAGGGCAGCAATTGCAAATGGAGCCGCGCGACCCAGATGTGTTGCCATCCGATGGCGTTTTCCATTATAGCGCCTAAATAGCGCAGAGGAATGGAATAAAAGTGCAGAAAAAATGGGATTGCAGGCGCGGCTCGTTTCTCCCCTATTTCAGTTTTTTCCCTTTTCCCTTTTCTATTTTTTGTGCTCCATCGAATCAGAGTTATGATGGCATCTCCACGGTCCTGCTGATGACGACAATGTCAGCTTGAGGCCCCCGGGCCGGGACAGGCCTTGGCACGGCGCGGCTCTGCACTGCACTGAACGACTTTTCCGATGGGAACAATTTATAATTTGATTAGCACATCGCTGACTGCACACGGAAACAGAGCAGAGGCAGCCAAAGGGGCGCAAAGCTCAGCGGAAGTGCATCTGAGTGCATTGAGGCTGCCGAATAGGCATCGTCCACTCACTCTAAGTCTTATCTCTCGAGCTACCTATTGAGTATGCAAAAATTGAGATGGCGCCGCGGGATGGGCCGGCCATGGCGCATCACACTCCGTTAACCGCCTGCCAGCCAAGACAATGACAAATGATGATGAAGTGACACTACGCCCCACTGCGGTCCCACTAAAAGGTTTTTGGAGACAGGACACTCGCCCCAGAAGCTTATCTTTAGCTTTCAATTAATATTACAAGTGGCTTTTTTATTGCAGACCAACCGCAGCACAACAACAATCTAGCCATAATAATCAGTTTTCAGTTTGTGTGGCTGTGTGGCTGTGTGTCTGTGTGTGTGGGTGGATCAACACAAACAAAGCGAATTTGCAAGCTGCACGATGACAAAAAACAAAAAAAAAAAGCAAAGGAGGCATAACAAAAGCAAACACAGATACAAAAAGACAAGGCTCTGCTCAGCCCCGCTCAGCTCAGCTCTTAAAGGATTCGCCGCACAAACAACGCCCCCATGGAAATTTTCCCATTCATTCATTAAACAATAAATAGCAAATTCTGCTACGGGCGTGGCGTCCTCCAAATAGATTAATGGCCGCAAACAAAAACCCTGATGCAAATCAATTTATTATGCTGTCTGCAGACAGCGTTGACCGCTGCATAAAATTTAGAGTACAACAATAAAACATACAGAATTTAATACTCAAATAAAACATTTATTTTGCTTCACTTGACGAACAATACACCTCGAGAGCCCACGTGCCATGGCCAACTGTTGCCCCGAAAGGTGTTGCCCGCCGCCTGGTTAGCCCGGAATTTGGTTAATATACCGTACTGCAATGGGGACCATGCCCAGCGGCGTGGATCTGAAGCGATTCCTGTTGACCACTTGCGTCGCCCTCAGTTGATTCATCTCCAGTCTCACCAGCTCCATATCCCGCTCGTACAGCTCCCGCATGCGGTTCTGTCGGACTATAATGCTGTAGACATGCGCCTCCTCCACCTCGCCTCTGATGCGACTCAGGACGAGATTGAGCGCAGAGTTCCTGGAGCCGCTGCTGCCCAGGCAGTCGCGCCGGTTCATCAGCGAGTTTCTGTGTGGAGCAACTGTTCAACTGAGATGATTGCCAATTGCATTCAAATGCAAATACTTACAAACTTGATGGCATTTTGAAACTAT